AAAGAGTGAAGAAAATCAAATTATGTAAAAGTGAAAATGTCATCTTAATATTCAAAAACCTGTTGCGCGGTGGATTCAAAACGGAAAAACTATAAATTTGAGATAAGAGGCAGTTTGAGAGGCAATTGAAGCTGACCTTATCCTCAAAAATACTAAAAATACTTAAAACTCTGAAACTCTTGTTATATCCCTTCATGTTAACATAAACACATCTAAACTGACGTACCGAACGTTCAATTTACACGCTATTGTACGAAGCACTAATTTGTTTTGGAGTAAATCGAAAATTAGAAACCGAAGCCAATAACTCTGTACAGAATTAACTTCAACAGAAATTCCATTTACTTATTCTCATTTTGCGAACGCTTTTCGTGTGGTGTTTAATTTTTGCTAACGTACGTTTTTCTGGAATAATATTTTTGCGATCTGGTACACAACTATAGATGATCATGAATTTATAATTAATAATGTAAGCAAAACTGACAAGGTGTAAAATGATTGCAATTAAGAAAAAAAAATATGAAGTCGAAATATATGTCACAAAAAGTGTATTTATGTTTTTATGGTTTATGTCTTTAGTTAAAGTTGATTAGCAATAAAATAAATTTGTTGGAGGATAATAAATATGTTAATTACGAAAATGGTGGTCCAAATCGTGGGCCTTGAATATTTCCAGTGTATTCTGACTCACATGGTGAAAAAGAGGGCGCTACGTCAGAAATACGTACGTAAGGCGACAAGAATTATAGCGTCGTCGTAAATAAAATTTTAAAATAACTGACTGGAATATTAACGTATGTGGATCATGGTGTGGTATAAACATTAATCTGGAATTTTAGAATATCATTCATATAGATATAATACTTGTAGTTATTGGGAACTATGTATTTGATCTACTTTCGTGTTAAGTTCTACAGTGAAAGATAACATTTTAGCTTTGATAGAAATCTGAGATAAAATTAAAAAAAAAAATTCAATGTGCTGATGAAAACATTGGTTTTCTTTTCAGTTGCAAGATGACATCATGAATGTTGTAAATGTTATCAAGTAAAAAGATACAACAAAAAAACATCTTTTAAGAAAACTGAATAAATATTTATGTTCATTTTTATGAATTACAGAAATAGTAATAAAGTGATAAATATAAATGTTTATTTAGCGAAATATATTTATGATCCTAAACATTCTTTATACAATCCATGAATCCATTGTTGGATATGGATCACTTGAGTATTAATATACCAAAGTAGGGATGATTTGCAGTGGCTGGGTGTCTTCAATACAAGCCCACCTGCCAATCGTGCCAACTATGGCAAAAATCTCTTCTTAAATTGAGTCTGTGGGGGGGGTTTATGTTCAGCACTGGACTTTTGATAGAATCTAATGAATAATTAAATGTCTTCAAGGCAAAATTAAAGTGGTTTTTAGTGAGCGAAATAATTTATATAATATATAATGTATAAAATAATGCTGTTGTGTTTCGTGTGGTGAGTGTAGAGAACTGGAGACCCTTTTTACTGGAAACTAAGCATTCCATTTTAGTACTCAACAGAGTCGAGCCCCAGATCGAAGAGGTCACCGCCAAACAGTTGGATGAAAACAAAAATATAAATTTGAGTTTTCTTTTCAGTTGCAAGATGACATCATGAATGTTGTAAATGTTATCAAGTAAAAAGATACAACAAAAAAACATCTTTTAAGAAAACTGAATAAATATTTATGTTCATTTTTATGAATTACAGAAATAGTAATAAAGTAATAAATATAAATGTTTATTTAGCAAAATATCTTTATGATCCTAAACATACTTTATACAATCCATGAATCCATTGTTGGATATGGATCACTTGAGTATTAATATACCAAAGTAGGGATGATTTGCAGTGGCTGGGTGTCTTCAATACAAGCCCACCTGCCAATCTTGCCAACTATGGCAAAAATCTCTTCTTAAATTGAGTCTGTGGGTTTATGTTCAGCACTGGACTTTTGATAGAATCTAATGAATAAGTAAATGTCTTCAAGGCAAAATTAAAGTGGTTTTTAGTGAGCGAAATAATTTATATAATATATAATGTATAAAGTAATGCTGCTGTATTTCGTGTAGTGAGTGTAGAGAACTGGAGACCCTTTTTACTGGAAACTAAGCATTCCATTTTAGTACTCAAGGTTGAAAACGCATTTGCATTTTGATCCTTAATTGAGGATAAATGTGGATGTCTATGGGCCACATCATCGACACCATCGGGTGGACTGTGTGCTCGTTTGCCACCCCAATCTTCGGCTGCATCACGAGATTTCATCAGATGGGATAGTATCCAAACACTGGCTTAGAATAGTTATAAAAACCTCTTGCTTGGCAGGCGGACCAGATTAAAATTCTTGATAATAAGTGTCTGGTTCCCAGTAAAACATAATAGTGCCGATTATGGTAAATTCTCCCTACTGACAAGGTATTAGAGAAGAATTATGAAGAACCACAGACACATCAAACTTTTGTCTTTGATTACTTGATATGGTAAGAAAGTAAAATAGCACGTACATTACTTTTTAATTTTTATTTTTTTTAATTCTCACATTGTCATAGAGTAAGTAAATGTCCCTTTACAAGTCAATATCATTGAAATAATTTATCAAACATGGAAACTTCCTAACGATATTTCCCTTCGTCGCCGAGCACGTGGTAAATTATGTTCTCAAAACTGCGATTAGCAACTTCCGTATTAGTTTCGAATTGTCTACGTTTATACTCAATTAAGAATCAAAATACAGATGCGTTGTCACCTTGAAGACTGAGATGAAATGCCTCGTTTCCAGTATAAATTGTCTCCAGTTAGTGTTTCGTATGGCGAGTGTAGAGACACTATTAGCCATAAGAAACACAGCAGCATTAAGCCGCTATTACGCTGGTATTCTGTGAGAGCGTGGTCCCACCTCAGTCGAGCTGATTCATACGTGCTAGAACCCATAAAATAACTACAGCGTGGCTAAACAACCTAAATTATACCATTTATTGAATAAAACTATTATTTACGGATTTTATCGCGTTTAAATACTTTAATTTATTTTTATTATTATCCCGACGTTTCGGGTGCTTTTTCTCCCCCCGTGACCATGGGCGCTGTAAAGCACCCGAAATGTCGAGATAATAATAAAAATAAATTAAAGTAATTAAACGCGATAAAATCCGTAAATAATAGTTTTATTCAATGTGTAGTGTTCGCGTAAATTTAAGAAATCATTATACCATTTATATTAAAAGATCCCCACAATACAGTAATTAGGACTTTGCAGTTCTATTAACACGGAAGATATTTCACTAGTTTTTCTATAAGCCTCACCGAGATTTTTAGACAGCTGTAGGAAAAAAAATGTCACAATTTTCATTAATCCAGTAACTAAATTGATAATGTGCGTTGATTTTGGATGTTTTCCAAAAGCAACAGTTGTGTACCGGGGGCATTTTCGTAATTATGTCTTTTCTCTAAAACATTATACTGGCAACTGGTACTATTTTTAAAATACAAATCGTTTTATAATACATACTAGTGAGCGTTATCAACGCATGGGGCATCATTAGCCCTGATTTTATAACTTGATTCATGGTGTAACCACTCAAGGCGATCACTTCGGTGTTCAATGATCCACTAGTGATTTCTTTTTAAATCATATGAAGCTTCCCACGTATAAACATTTAATATGTTCTCTTAAAAACATATTTAATGATTTTAAATATAAAAAGATGTCTTTTTTATAGTATAAGGTGGCAAACGAGCACACGGTCCACCTGAGGGTAAGTGGTTGCTTTGACCCATAGACATCTACATTTATCCTCGTTAATGAATCAAAATTGCAACCCGTGAGGACTAAGATAGAATGCCTCGTTTCTAGTTCAATACACTCACCAGACGAAACACAGCAGCGTTAATCTGCTATTTTACGCTGGTATTCTGTGAGAGCGTGGCCCCCATTCGTGCTACAGCTATACCAGTAATATAGCTGGAGCGTGGCTCTACCACGTAAAGAAGTTAAAATATCTGTATTCAAATTTAAAATAAACGATCTGTGTTTAAACTGCAGCAATTTTGATGAATAAATAAATTAATTAATTTATTTAATGTATTTCAAATATATTAATTGAATTATTTAAAATTAAAATGTGAAGCTGATCTATGTGGTTTGTTCATATAGTTTAATGCTTTGTTTATGTTTACTTTGAAGCCGGACATTGATGTGAAGCTTGCTGTTAAACAATCACCGTATAAATAAAGTTATAAAGTTTTCTTTATAGACTTCGTTCGAGATCTAACAAAGTGATTAGAGTAAAGAAGCAATGTATAGTGTTTGAGCCAAATGACTAGTTTGTCATGTAGGCAGTTGTTGGCATTGATTTATTGCAAATTTCCGCGCTTCGAACAACTACAATGTTATTGTAACAAGTTTCGCTACATGAACAAGACAAGATCAGTTGACTACCGGCAAAACATAATACATTCAAATTAATATATTATGCTTCATACTCTCCTATTGGAGGTTGACAAAAATTTTGACAAGTCAACGCTCAACGAATACGATCAGATAGTTGGCGACAAACGAAAATAGTCGGCATGCCAACACAACGTAACGGAGATCTATTTCAGCGGAACATTCGGCGGCACACACTGGTATAGTTTTAGCCGATCCGGGAGCGTAGGCGCCCGGTGACCTTGGAGGTGCCAGCATCGGTGGAACCGTGGAAAACCGAGACTCGCGGCCATTTTAGGCGGCGTCGACGGCCGCAACGCTCGGGTCAAGTTTTATTGTCTCCGTCGTTGCATAACAAGAGGCGACGGGCCGAGCGGAGCTTCGAAAATATCGGGCGGACGAGCGTTCCTCCGCGCGGCCCGTCCGAAGATCATTAACTCGGAGATAACCCATTTGGACGGGCGCCGTCGCAGACGTTTCGCCACGGCGCTCGCCCCCGCGCTGGCGGCGGGCCAGCGCGCTCGTCGGTGCTCACTTACACCAGTACACTGCGACGAAATCCTTGTCTTCCAGCACTCGCTCCAACTGTTTGGCGGTGACCTCTTCGATCTGGGGCTCGACTCTGTTGGGGACGGACTTGCGTGCGAGCGCGGGCGCGGCGGCGAGCAGGAGGATCGCCGCGAGGGCCTTCAGCCACCGAGCCATGGCGAGGGCGCGCGCGTACTGAGCGCCGCGCGTGCGCCGCCGCCCGCGCGCGGCCCGCCCGCCCAGCGCGCATGCGCCGCGCTCCCCCGCCCGCCCTACGCAATGGTGTTGCCATAAACACTCATCGCCGTACACTTACAGATCAATTAAAAAAAAAGAGGCCGACACAAAATTGGTATCAGACGTCATTAACGTATACTGTTTAGTATTAAAAATTATAATACAACAAATTCATATCAAAATATAATTTTTGATCATTGGATCAATTAAAAAATATAAGCCGACCTCAATTTACCATCAGTCGTAGTTAAAGTACATTGTATGGTATTGAAAATTATATTACTAATTCGTATGAAATTATGTTTTTTTTTCAAATATATTAACAAGAGAAGTCAGAAAATTAGGCAAACACCTTCCTTCATTTAAATCGTTGCTTCGACTATTTCATATTACAACTTTACGGTATTTGAGTTTTTATTATTTCTTTAAAATACGAAAAAGAAAAAAAAAATTTTTCACTATAATAACGTATATTTTTTGTTGGAAATATGGCAATGCTAACTGCGTATAACCTCGCTCTGTAGTTTACATCGCCGCATGCGCACAGCATGGTTTGTGCAGCTTCAGGGCAATCACGTTAAGCTAGTTTGAATTAAAAGCTAATATTACTTTCTTCCTGCATTTGATCAAAACAATCAGAGTTAAGAGTAACGAAAGTTTAAAAAAAATATATATATTTTTATTATTATTATTTAATTATTTATTTTTATTTCCTAATGTTATCGTTGTTCGCTGCCAAACAAAACTTCGGATAATTAATGAAATTATTATGTATAAGATCAGGGTGACAAACGAGCACACAGTCCACCTGATAGTAAGTGGATCCTGTGGCCCATAGTTGTAGTGTTGGCGTTACCAGCCCTGAGGACTGAGATGGAAAGCCTCGTTTCCAGTCAAAAGGGTCTCCGGTTCTCTACACTCACCACATGAAACACAGCAGCATTGATCTGCTATTTTACACTGGTATTCTGTTGAGCGTGGTCCTTCCCCGGTCGAGCCGACCCATTCGTGCTGCAACCACAATATAGCTGCAGCATGGCTCTACCACGTAATTTAATTAATTTTATTCATAATGATAATTTATTTTATATTCTCGTTGCCCGTAACTACGATCATATAGCTTGCTTGCTCGTTAGCTATTGACCGCTAAGAACAAGGGCTATACTATACTACCACTGTACTATAGCATAGAGGGAAGGAGTTGATAAAAGTAAGGCAATGTTCTTGCAAATAAAACTGCTGTGACCACCTGTGATTGTGAACCAGAAGGTCTGAAGGGTACAGAGAGCCCAGTATAATTACAGTCTGTGTAATGTAAGATGAAATCTATAGAAGGTACTTTGATTTTGCTCAGACTTTACTTTCGAGCTAAGACAATGTCGGTATTTATACAGCTAGCTTCGAAGTCGTGCTTAGTGCGCGCTTACCAAAGCCTAAGTTAGTACTATTATTTATTCTGTGCCTAAGTCAACAAAATCGACGACTTACGAGAGACTTAGGATATTAACCAAAACCACCGTATTAGTTTTTAATTGTTGTTTTTTCTTGTTACTCTAATTATTTATACTAATAATAGGAATATAAAGGAAGTCCAAGTTCCAAAGTTAGTGGTAATGAAAAGATCAGGCATTTTAAACTGAAATAAAAACTTAAACTACACACAATAACAATAAACCAAGAGCTTGACATTTTACACAGTGATTTGACACCGCTTGACCGGCTGACCAAACGTTCGGTTTATTTGTAAAATATGAGAGAGAAATAGTAGTAGAATACAATATTTATTTATTGCGCTATCGTACACAAACATGACAATTTATATTACATTAAAAAGTTTATCTTTTCTACGCCGCGCCGGCTGACTCTCCATCTGTCTTACGAATTTTCGATCAGGTCACGTGTCCTGACGCGAGTTTCACATTTTTTACCCATTACAAAAAAGTGTACAACGCCGCTAAAGAAGTTTTCACTACAATAATAACTTATTTATGAAATACAATGTGGATTGTTTTTGATTTTAAAATATAAATTTTTAGATATTTTTTTAAATTCAGGTTGATCTTATCCCGATACAACTATAAATTCAGAATCAGTGATTATGGTAAGCATTTACTCAGCAAAGTTTTTCCCAAGTAAAGTCTGAGCAAAGTCAAAGTAGGTTATAGATTGGATTCTTGTAACTACTGGTGATAGTTCTTTATGACTGTGAATTAATATGTCTCTAAATTCGAAATAACGGTGTTGTGTCCGGGAGTCAGTCTTTCGTTTACTTTAATGCTTAAGGCTAAACATGGTTAAACATATAAAAACAAATTAATGACATTAACTTCACTGTATTTCAAAGAACATTATCTGTCTGCAAAGAGATTGATAGAACCTCACCTTATATGAAATGGAATAATAGAGTTATACAATTTACCATTTATTTAAATAAAAAATAAAATACAATACAAATTCATAACATAACAGTACACAACAGTTTTGACATTACTGTTACTTTATATTAATTCTTTTGACTAAGAATGAATACAAAGTAACAATAAACTAAGAGCGTTATGTATTTCTTTTTTTATTTTTTGAGGTAAAATTCGCAAATAAAACTGACGAGTTTTGGTTAATTAATATAAGAGTTTATTATTTTACACCTAGAATTTGTGAAAATCTATTATTAGGTTTGTTGAATTACCTAAAACAAATACAAACAACAAACAGGTCTTAGAACCTTATTAGTTTGTTAAAAGTGACAAAGTATTTAGTTTATGTTATTAGTAAAATATAAATTAAATAATAAAGAGAATAAATACACAAAAGAAGTTATTATAATGTTAAAAGAAAATTAGAATCTTTGGATCTAGAGATATGGAAGCTTCTCTTTTTGATACAACTTCATCGGTTTTGAAGAGCAATTCATTTAACTGCATTTGTGTACAAACAGGTACCTTATGTATTCAGCAAGTTGCTTAATTCTAAATGACTTATTTGTTAAGCCTTAGTTAACCGTCCCGCTGACTCATCAGTCATCACTTCATCTATTTCTATGTGTTCTAATTACTCATGATGCTTTAAAAAATAATCTCTCAGCAGATACTGAAGTTGCAGGTATTGAAAGAAATCTTCGATCTTCGATAGAGTCGGATATTCTATGTCATGCGTCCTGCTAACTCTAAAATGTCTTTCGAGCTGGCGGCTCTGGGTTTACTTAGGTACTCCTCCAACTCATCAATAACTAAGCCTTGAAGACAAGATCCAGATCCAGATGACGTCAAGGGACATGCATAAAGTTTCTCAAAGTCTATTACGTCTTCGTCTTCATTATATTCACATACTTTCTTTTCATTTCTTGGTAGTTCTAGACATTTATTCACCGTGTGTAGACTCATTATAAAGTTCATTAAATTTGCGCAGGCTTTCTGTTTTAATTTGCTTGTCCCATAAAGTCATGTCAAAAGTCTGAGCCTTATGCCTTGGGTCTAAAATTAAAAAGGTACAATAAATCCAGTTGCTCTTGTTATAATGTTTAAGCATTTTATCTCGAGCTGCTTGGAAACCCAGAATGAGCCTTTCATCTACTTCGGATCGATTAGGTTTATCATCTAATAGTTTTACCATGGATTCAATTTTATCGAGCAAGAGATTGAATGATACAATGACTAGCGGTAATGTAACATATTTTTCTCCACCATGTTTCGTTGATAAAAGTTTAAAGTTTATTAGAAACTTATGTATTTTTTTGAGTAATTGCCATTCACTATCTGTGATTTGAAAATCATTCAATTCGGTTACAGATGTGCACAATATGTTAATGCCAGTTCTCACTTTTAAACCAAATCCAATCATATCATGTGTGGAATTCTATCTCGTTGGCAGTCGAATATGGGATTTAGATTTGATGGCACGCCAGCTACTTCACAAGCAGACTGAAATTACCTCTTCAATAACTACTTTTTATTTTACTGGAAATCTGTGTAATTTTGTTATAGCTGTACGTGAGTCACCAATATTTAGCGCATATTCTTCATCTTCCTCAGTTTCGTCTTCATAGTCTTCATACCGCTGTCCTTGTCCGTTATTCTCAGTTTGACTGTGTAATGCTAAGGTCTTTGATAAATCTTGTACACCAAGGTTCGAAATGTGAGAAAAGTACCGGAAATGTTGTTGTCTGAATCAAAGTGTTTGCCAATGCGATGTCGACCGTGATACATGTATGTATATATATATATATATATATATATATATATATATATATATATATATATATATATGTACATATAATATATAACCGAAATACCACTTACTGACTGAGTACCACGATATCTTAGGAACTATAAAACATACAAACTTGAAGTTTTGAAGATAGATTTCTTTTATGGCGTAGAGGTCAGCTAAGAAACGGTTTTGAGAAAATCTACCTCTAAGGGGTGAAATGTGGGTTGGAAGTTTGTATAAAGATCCTATGTTTTTGAAGCTAGAGACATGAAAATCGGCAGCTAAGTTGTTAGTTATAAATAACTAGTTGTTACTCGCGGCTTCGCCCGCATGGTCACTGGGAAATGAACTAACCATTGCTTTTTGAATTGAAAGAAAACTGAGTTTTATAGATTTTTCTGAGATGCAGCCATTAAAAGGAAACTGAGCAAAATTGATTCGTCAGCCTATTTAAATGTTTTGAAACGCAGGGTATAGGAAAGCATGAAATTAGCCTGTTTATTACAAATGGAAATGGGATATTTTTTTAATTAAAGGAAACTGAGCATAATTATCCGTCAGGGATGCAGACTTTTGAAAAGAAACTGAGCTAAATTGATTCGTCAGAGATGCAGTTTTCTGAATTGAAAGGAAACTGAGCCAAATAAAAGATCCGTCAGAGATGCAGCCTTTTGAGTTGAAAGGAAACTGAGCTTAATAGGTCCGTCAGAGGTGCAGCATTTGGAATTGAAAAG